AAGTGCAAGGAAAAACATGTTTTCTAAAGACGAGTGTGTGTGTGTGTGTGTGTGTGTGTAACTGAGACAAAAAGGATGTAAATTGTAATGCTATGCTATGTCACCTGAGTCTTGTTCCTCTGTGATTGTGTGTTTTGGTAATCAGAGAAGCAAACACACTTCCATCCTGTAGTCTTTTATCATTTCTCATCAGAAGTGAATTCACACAGTCCCAGTGATCCGGCAAAAGCTCACCTACTGTCTCCGAATCAATTTGTGGCCTGGGCATTTCTGTAGCGTGTGCTGGCGTGTCACCAATTTAATTTTAGATGGTCCAAATAGACACATTGTTATTTAATCTCAGTAGCGTGCCCAGATGCGGTTTGCTCTGATTGATTTTTCTGGTCTCTAAGCACAGATCAATATGTGTGTGTGCGTGTTTGTCAGAGGAGCGGCACTGTTCACTGATTTTATAACTTTTTAAAATGCAAATCAATGTGGGAACCTGAGAATGAATCTCATGAAAACAGGTCCAGTTTGCATCTAAACCCAAAGTCATGAGAAATTATAATTTTGCATAAAGGAAATAAAGCCTATTTGGCATTGTGGCATTATTTTCATGAATATTAAACTAAGCACATTTCCCCTGAAATTCTCATTACCATGATGCATCCAGGCGTTGTTTTTATATGTAATTCTCATTATTCTTTATAATGACTCTCAATAGATTATCATGACTGTAGTACAGTATTTTTGTCGTGCAAAACAAATTGCAGTAACACAGATAAAAAAAAAATCAGCACAAATTAAAGGCAGTGCAAAAAATAATACCATAATGTAGTAATATTATTATCACTATATATTTAATTGTTTTTTTAGTTTTTTTTGTATTGCAGTTATAAAAATAAGACTTATTTGCATTACAGTAGCAAGAACAGGGAGAAAAAAATTTCAACTTTCAAGAAAATTGTCAAGAAAATAATGTTGTAATACTGTAATGACCTTAAAATAAGATAAAATAAAATAAGAAATAAACAAAGTATATCTTTAAGCATAATATATTGCATTTCACCCCAAAATCATGAGAAATTATATTTTGCATAAGGAAAATAAAGCCTATTTATCTGACATTGTGCCATTATTTTTATGAATACTAAATTATTAGTAATTATTAAATTAATTATTAAATTAAACACATTTCCTCTGAAATTTTCATTACCATAATGTACCCAGACATTGTTTTTTGTAATTCTCATTATTCTCTAATGATTCTCATTACTTTAATACGGTATTTTTGTGTAGGTTTTTGCATTATATTAGTTTTTAAATCAGCACTTTAATTGGAAAAAATAATAACATAATGTATTAATATAATTATTATTTTAACAAAATACCTTTTCTTATTATTTTTTTGCATTACAGTTATGAAAATGAGACTTATTTGCATTATAGTAATGAGAACAGTGAGAAAGAATGACAAAATGAATTAGATTCTCGTTACTGTAATACGGTATTTTTGTGTAGAAGGCACATTGCAGTTTTTTTTAATCAGCACTAAATTAAAAGACAGTAGGAAGATAATTGCATAATGTATTATTACTATCTATTTTATATATATATATATATATATATATATATATATATATATATATATATATATATA